GACGATGTGAACAATGCTATATCTAAAGTAGTTGATTGGTTTGCTGTTAATAACCTACTTCTTAATGAGAAAAAAACAAATTGTGTGAAATTTACATTACCCAGTGTTAGAGAGACGGTTACAAACATTGTAGTTAGAAACGAAAAATTGAATCTTGTGGATACAGTTGTATTTCTAGGTATAACGTTAGATGCTAAATTGCAATGGGGTCCCCATATAAGAAAGTTGTCAAAACGGCTCGGCTCTGCAGTGTACGCGATTAAAAAAATAAGGAAACTTTCAGACGTCGAAACCGCTAGATTGGTTTACTTCAGCTACTTTCACAGTCTAATGACATACGGCATTTTGCTTTGGGGTAATGCCGCCGATATCAATAGAATCTTTGTCCTGCAGAAACGTGCAGTTAGGGCAATTTACAATCTGGGCCCCAAAGTATCTTTGAGAGATAAGTTTAAGGAAATTAACATTCTTACACTAGCCTCACAGTACATTTATGAAAATGTAATTTATGTTAAAAGGAATAGTAATGTATTTATGAAAAATAGTGACAGACATAACATTAATACGAGGAATAGAAATAAACTAGCTTTTCTTGATAGTCGTCTTCACAAAGTCAAAAAATCATTTAAGGGGCAATGTATACGCTTTTATAACAAGATTCCGGTTGATATACAAAATTTGCCTTTCACGAGGTTTAAAACTATAGTGAAACAAAAACTTTATACTAAAGGTTATTATACAACTTCTGCGTACTTGGATGACAAAAATCCGTGGTAGTAACCCGTTTAGCTCATGGAGGTAGTCTCGATCTCTGATGTTTCAAATAAAAAAAAAATATTGTAAATGTTATTTACAAAGAGCAACCCCTAGAGTTTCTTGCTCATTCTTCTCAGGGGAATCTGCCTTACGAATGAGCGGTAGAGTTTAACCATTGTGACGATTTCAAGTGTAATAATGCTTACCTATGAAATAAAGATTATTTTGAATTTGAATTTGAACTTTAAATGAAAAACCACCGTGAGTCTTGGGTATATTAACTAAACTAACTGGTAACTCACGTGTTTAAAGTGAATTTCTGTGGCGGAAATTACATAGGCGAGACTGGCCGCAACAATTAACAAGACTGGCGGAACACATACCTAGGTAGTATGAATAATTATAACTTTTTTTATAAAAAAAAAAACCGACCGCCGAGTTCGAGGAATTACTTCTATTTTGGCCAAGTTTTATGGAAATCGGTTACGCGACAGCGCGCGAAACCCGATTCCTGTAATATTTTCTTCAAATTTAAATGGGACCAATACTGAGGTACACTATTTCCAACAAAAAAAAGAATCATCAAAATCAGTTAACAAAATTGATCACGTAACATACATACAAAAAAATACAGTCGAATTGAGAACCTCCTCCTTTTTGGAAGTCGATTAAAAACCGAAACAGCCTGAACACTCATTGGACCGGATTCGACGCACTATATTCGTTTTGATACAGTGTCCGTACTGGCGAGGGAAATTCATTTCATTCCGCGTAAAGTAAATGACTAAAACTGGCGAGATTGGTCGTCATTCGAATTTTTATCGTGATAGTGGATGGACGGTACTGGCTGAAAAACATTGTTAAATAGGTACTACTTACGACCGTGGCAGTGTGGATGAGACTTTAAAAACGTCACGTGATTAGTACTGTGCTAGCCGGCATATAACTAAGTATAATAAGAAAGAAGCAAACGAGGATATGTGCTCGCCGCCTCCGCCTGCGCCCGCAGCCGTCCTGAATGATCGGGCTGTCAATTGTACCGCGGAAGTTCACGATTAAGGACCAGGATCTGGTTCGAAGCATGTCGAGCAAAAGTTCGACTCAGATACGTCGTGAGTTAACAGGTTCTAACATTTAATTTCATTTACTAGCAGTACAGCTCCTTGTGAAATAGTTCCAGGGTAGTACTGCCACCTTACCTATTTCTGCCACCAAGCAGTAATGTCAGCATTACTGTGTTCCGGTTTTGAAGGGTAAGGGTGCTGGTGAAATTACAGGCACATAGGACTTGTCAACTTGTCTGAGGGTGACGGGTGGGCTCAGATCTTTGCAATTTAAAGCTCTGAATGGCACTGTAACTGTTATGGGCAGGCGTGTAGCTTACGACCAGGCGCGCCATCTTGTTCGTCCCGTCCATTGACTTACAATTATATGGACGTCGGGTCCGCGCTAAAAAGTGTCCGCACTTGTAAGGCGCTAAAATCGTATACAGAGCGCGACACTCCGCTTTAGTCTTCATTTGTTCTACGGACAACGCGATACTGCGATGACATAACAATTTAAATTTCGAATAGGTTGATTGGGACATTTTTTTCGTGGTTTTTGTATTAGACCCGTCGTCCATTTATTTGTAAGTCAATGGTCCCGTCACTTGATATTGTTGAAATACTGGCTAGATTGTATTTCGTATTATAATTCTGAAATGAAAATTTGTGTTCTTATATATTATTCAAAAACTTGTTTGTCATGACTGCACTTCAAATAAAATCACAAACTAGTAAACAACGTTTTTCCAATTTTCTCCAAGTGAATTATCCATCGTATGAGCTTGGAAGTCTGAACTAATATTTTTCACTTTCCAAAAAAAATCGCTTCAAAAATTCACATAAAACAATTATTCAATACTACTAATATTTTTGTTCATTACGAAAGCTCGTGTTGATAACGTTTTGTGGTGTTTTCGTGGAGAAAATTGAACAAACGTTGTTTACTATTTAGTGATTTTATTTGAAGTGAAGTCATGACAAATAAGTTTTTGATTAATATATAAGAACAGAAGTTTTGATTACAGAATACGAAGTACAATCTGGCCAGTATTTCAACAGACATTATTAAAAAAAATCATAGGAAGTAAATAACATAGAGGTATTATTTTGATCTTTACATTTTTGCTATGACCCTAACATACGCCCTGTACAATTTTGGTTCGCGGCGTTTGATGCTTTAGTAGACTGGGTGAGCCGAGTTAAATAGAGAAATAACGACAAAAGAGAGGGACAGGTCCGCCATTACCTCTGTTTTGGGCACAGCTAGTGATGCGTTGTCTTGCATGCAGCTCGCTTTCGCCACGTCCCAACTTTGTGCCACATGCTCTATTCGGTACTCGAATCCATTCTCAAAACCATTGTATACTGAAAATCAATAGAAAATACCAAAGAACTGATCAAAAATTTTAATAATTGAAAAAAAAAAGGTAGAAATAGCCACACATAATTTAACTGCCTCCGGGGCCGGACAGCTGCCTTGCTGGTCTGCCCCGCAGAGACCCTGGGTTCGATTCATGAGCCGAGAGAAACATTTGTATAGTCTACATTTATTTCTCTCGTGAGTTTGGGTGTAATTTGTGATATCCACGGCACCCGTGATACAGATACTTTAAAAAAATTACAAAAATTTTTGGTTTCAATTGTTTTATCTTATGACTAAATATAAAATTAGAATCCTCACCTGCAGAATCTAAACCGAAACATGTTGCTACTACTAACGCAAATGGTGCCGCTAATCTGAAAATGAAACATATTTATGGCGTTAAGGAGTACCTTAACTCCGGCTACCCCGTGCTCGTGCAGTAGCACGAAGTGCAGTAGCCGAAAACGAGTACATAGTTACTTTAGGAATTATCGTAAACAAGTAACAGATTCAGCACTACCAACATCTTCTCTTAAGCTTACCTACTGCGTTCAATTACAAATAAATATTACATTATTGTAATCTGTAAACAAACGACCTTTACATTTTAAGAAAATAAATAGCTTTTACCTCATTTTGCGAAATACGGAAGCAGTCCTGAAGGAAACACTCAACAACACTTGGCCGCCGCGCTCGATCAACTAGCTTGTGTGCCGATGCGTGTGAGCGTAGAGTGGAAAGGGACCGATGTCTACAGATGTACGACCACAGATGTTACAGTTTCATTCAACTATGTTTTTACTTTCTAATGTCACTTCGATCGCTACACTTTACGATTTTGGGATTAATGTGTTTTTTTACGGTTTAGTTTGCAGAGGACTGTTATTTATTGCAATCAATAACATAATTCTAAACGAGAATAATTAAAAATACATTATATGCTTAATGATAAAAAAGTAAGGATTTTCAATGGTCAAAAAACGGTGGTGTGTTCTCAATAGAGGCCGTTAACGCGTTATTATACCGTTAAGTCGATTTGTGTTCATGTTTCAAACATGCATAACACTCGCTTTAGTCTCAGTGCCTTTGTTTACTGTATGAACATTTGTACGACTACTAATGGCTCAAGCGAATGGACTTTCAGAAAGCGATTGAAACGTTTTACAGATCCGGGAGGCCCAACAGAGGACACCTCGCGTACTTACACACACCATAAACCAGAGAACATGGCAGATCTTTCTCGCGAGAGACTCCTGTCATAAATTACACGAATGCAAAATTTTAATTGTTTTAATACCGTAAGGTAAATTAAGACTCTATAGTGACTCAAGATTAGTCAATAATCGATTATAGTTATATAAATGAATAAACAAGATTTTAGGACATCAAAAAAAACTTTCATAGGAAATGAAACTGTTTTTCCGGATTTACTTTCATTTCAAAACTTAAATTACGGATTATTAGCGAACCACGTAAGTGAGTTTTCGACTTAGTTGGCTCGTTGGATAAATGCATAATTCGTCTGTAGAGTAACATAATGAAACAATGATTTTTAATTTGTTTTGCATTTTATTAATGAGTTTTTGATAAACGTGAATTTGCTTTAAAAATTTGATTTAAAACTTCGCTGTTCTCCCAATTACACTAATGTTCCGATAAAAATCATTGTAACAATAATTACGCTCCTTACAATTACTTAGGCCCAAAATTAGTTCTAATTCTCCAAGCTATGTCGGTTACAAAAGTGCTGTTTTGTTTTAAATCACCTTGTTGCATTTATTTAAGAAAATCTTATAGAACAGAACGATCATGGCCTGACAGTACATGGGGTGTGCGATTGCAGTTAACTGGCAACCTTACGTTATAAAGATTACAAAGCAAATAAAATATTAATTACGGTAGGTACGTTGATCGAATTCTCAGTTCAAATTACTTAGTTCCATACAAGACCTAAATCTCTCTCAAAAGAGCTATTGTCCCAATTTGTTTAGTACTTCTTTTAAGTTGTTCATATATTAACTTCAGATTTATAAACAAGTGAAATCTCACTTGTTCATTGGTCGCATTCATAGGAGACGGGAATATTGATCAAAATAGTAGACCACGAGGCGCCAAAGACTCACAAAGTATAAGCATAGCGGTTAGAGGATGTAGACAAGGCAGTGAATTTAATATTTACCTACATATTCAGGATGTAGGTAGTCATTTTAGTACTTAACAGAAGTACATGTACACAATGAGCCTTCAAAGATTATTCCCTTATAAGTTAATACTCTTCATGTAGTTCGTCGTTTAATAAATACGAAAAAATATCTATTAAAATGTTATATTAGACAGGTTGTAGAACAAAATAAATACTACAAACAAAAAAATACCATTACTTAGATAAGGAATACAATTATAAACTTATTTTATAAAAAAACCGACCTCAAAAGTTTGTGGAATTATATATGTTTGCCAAGTTTTATTGAAATCGGCTAATGAAACGTGAGTGAAATCCAATAAACCGAATTCATCCCCTAATTTGCCACCCTTACTAGTGGAATATTTTCCAAATTTCCAAATATGAATGGGAGTAGGTACTGAGGTACCCGCTTTCCTACAAAAAAAGAATCATCAAAATCGACTCATAAATGACGGAATAAACACGTAACATATCGTACACACAAACAATACAGTCGACTTCAGAACCTTCTCCTTTTAGATGTCGTTTAATAAACAAGTATAACTTTTTATAAAATAAAACGACCTCAAAAGTCCGTGGAACTACATCTATTTGCCAAGTTTTATTGAAATCGATTATCAGAAAGTGCGCGAAACCGGATTAATCCCCTAGTTTGCCATCTTTAGAGGTTATTTATTCCATAGGTAAAATAAATTTACACTTGAAAACGTCACATTTAAGCTACTGCTCGTTCACTACGCTGACCTCCCTGAGAAGAACGAGCAAGAAACTCTAGGATTGCTCTTTTCAAATAAACTTAAATGCTATGGAATACACTTTGAATCAAATTTGTGTGGATTCTGGAGCCGTGTCGTCTTTCTATACATCGTTATCTAACACGTAGTCTTCAATTTTGTAATATGATTTTTCGATCAAAATATTTTTAATGTAGTTTTTAAACTTAGGAAATGATAAACTTAATATATGCTCTGGAATCTTATTGTAAAAACGTATACAGTTCCCCATAAGAGTTGTTTACCTTGGTTAAACGAAATCGTGGGAGCATGAGTTTGAACTTAGCCCTAAGGTTAATATTATGGATGTCTTCTTTCTTATTGAAATTATGTATTAATTTTTACGGGCATATAAAACTTTTGAGTAAATGTACTGTGATGCCACAGTCATGATACCAGCCTCCTTAAACTGTTTTCTGAGTTCTCTCAGAAAACAACCCGATCTCAGAGAACCCGAGAGCCTAGACGGTACACAGAACGAATCGCTCGTTTTTGCAATAGAAATATGGTTTGAATATCTGCCGCTTTACCCCACATAAGAATCCCGTAGGACATTATACTATGGAAGTAACTAATGTAAACTAGTCTAGCAGTACTAACATCGGTAAGCTCACGTATTCTGTAGACTGCGTATGCAGCGGAGCTTAATCTGCTGGCCAAGGAAGATATATGTGGAAACCATTGAAGTTTACTATCTAAGGTCACTCCCAAGAAGAGTGCTTTATTAACAAGGTCTAACTTTTCTCCGTTTATTTCTATGCTTGGACTAGTCGATTTTACGTTAGGTAATTCAAATTTAACACATTTTGTCTTTTTGGCATTAAGCAATAAATTGTTAGCATTAAACCAATAACTACCTTAGAGAGGGTATCATTAATATGGTCATAGTTAATGTCATGTTTGTCTGTTTTAAAAATCAAGGATGTGTCATCAGCAAACAACACTATTTCGCAATGGTCCTTAACAAGGAATGGCAGACCATTCGTATAAATCAGAAATAAGAAAGGTGCAAGTATGTAGCCCTGCGGAACACCAATTTTTACCGGAGAACCCAAAGAAGTCATTCCATTTATGTCTACTTTCTAAATTCTACCGTTGAGATATGACGAGACAACTTTCGACGCCTTGCCATTTACACCGTAATGTTCCAGCTTCCTAATAAGAGTAATATGATCAACGCAATCAAATGCCTTTGAGAGGTCACAGAAAACACCAATAGCGTTCTGAGACCTTTCCCAAGCATCAAAGATGTGTTTTAGTAACGCTACCCCCGCATCGCTAGTCGATTTACTACTAGTAAACCCGTATTGTTCGCTATGAAAACGTTAACATTTTCCTTTAGGAGATCAATAGCAAGTGAAGGAAAGGAATTTAATGATTCTGTAGTGTTCTCAGCAGTTTCCGAAAAGAACGATTCAAAAGCTTGGGCTGCTTTATCTTTAGATTTTATAACTTTGCTGTCTAATTCTAAAACCATTACTCTATCGTGTCGTTTAATCCTGCCTGACTCTTTGTTTATTATGCTCCAAGTAGTTTTAGATTTATTTATCGATTGTCTAATTTTGTCGTTGTGAAACTTAACCTTAGCAGCTACACATACTTTTGTAAATATTTTTTAATAAATTCTAACATATTCTATGAAATTGGAATTAGTATTATAAGTTTTCATAGCATATAGCTCGCACAAACGAGACCTACTCATATGAATATCTACTGTTGCCCACTCGTTGAATTTAGTCTCTCTATGGAAAGTTAATGTTTTCGATTTAAATATATTATCAAATTCATTTTTAATTAAACCAAATATCGTGCTATATAAAGTATTTGGAACCTCCGGTATATGGGGTAGGGAATTTAGCCGAATAGGGAATTTAGTAGAATATTGCCGATATTATTTTGAAATCTAATGATTCGTTCTGTGGTAATCGGTCTGCAGAGAAATTGCTCATTTTACAATTAAAAGAAGCCAGTTGGCCACTATGGTTTGATCTTAAGCAATTTATTATTGATTTAGACACTGCGTCTGTGTTACAAAACATGTTATCAAGACAAGTCGAAGAGGAGGCAGTGATGCGAGTTGGTTAATCAATCAAAAAGATTAATAAAGTTCAAACTTTTGAATAAATTAATGAGTCTTACAGAAGTAGAACAGTTTTCCAACAGGTTTACATTGAAATCTCCACATATTACTACGTTTTTTTTGGTTGGAAAAATTCGCTTAAAACTGTCTTCCATAATTCGAATAATCGAGTCTCGCTCAATGTGCGATCGGAAACGGACGCGCTGCACTACTTTGCGAGAATTATTTTAATTCGCGATTTTGCGCGGCTTAGGCTGCTGCATGTACGTAAGTGACAATGGGTTCCCAACAACTCATTGTCAATGAGTTTCTGGCATTCGTGCAGAATGCCATCGACACAATGGATGAAGTCAGCATCGAGCAGATCTGCAAATCTAATTTCAACGAAGATGAGATTTGCAGTGGCAAGATGCTGCTGTTCCAGAGCTGCGGCAAAGCGCAGCAGATGCCATCTCGTCGGAGGGATGGAG